TGTTTTCTGTGCTCTTTTCTCTTCTGAGTCTCCTCCTCATTATTATGGAGCCAAACAGTCCTAAAAAGATCCAATTTGCTGTGCCATTATTTCAGAGTCAAATAGATCCTGAAGCAGCTGAACAGGTAAGGAAGACAGGTATCTTTCACTACCTGGTAACAGGGTGCGGGATAATACTAGGGAACATTCATGGCCCAAATTCTTCTCCAGTTTACATTGGTGTAAATTTATATTAATCCATGGAAATCCATGTAGTTTGTGCTGGGATAGCTAATATAACAAAGGGCAGGATTTTTCCTATTGTGGGAATATACATTTTAACTCGCACAAGTTTTTCCTACACATATATTAGCTGTTTGGCTTTATTCTTGTAACATGTTTTGCACAAGAGCTAAGCACACTATATGAATACACACTTTCAAGTGGAATCAATAATGGAAAATTAGCTGAAATGTGTTGTTTCACTTACACTAAAATATACACTTGATAATTTGTGTGAAAGGGAAATATTGCATAATCTGGTTCGGAGATAACCTGCTTGCAATTTATTTTCATGTGGGAACAACACATTTGAATACTGCAAGATAGTAACTCATTGAGTTATTCCCCCACCTTAAGACTTTTAATGGGAAATTCTTTACATCACTACTGTTTACTAAGTATTTCGTGCATGTGGATGTGGGTATATGTGTGAATATATATATATACATATCTATACTTGAAAAAATATATATCTGACAGTCAAATCTGACCAATCTGTATCTGTTCAAGCCTGCATTTCTTATAGGTAAACCTCTCATTAGTTATACATATAGATAAAGATGTGTAGATCTACTTCTATATATAAGCAATGATAACTATGAACTCTTAAACAACAGACGTGGATAATGTTTGTTAGGTTGTCTCGCCCATTTCCATTACTATGTCATTGTCTCCAGTTGTACATTTAATATTGTTTTGATAAGTCTAGATTTCAATGATACCAGGGCTTTGACAATTCCACTGTAGAATGATGGCAGTGTAATCATTTACATCTAGAGGACAGACATCTTGTTTCTTTAATCTTATGATGTAATGTCTCCTAAGAGGAGGCGGGCTTTGCCGGGAAGAGATGAATTATTGCTGGCGGTCACAGAGGGAGAGGAAGTGGGGGAGGGTAGAAGAAAAGAACTTCCTCAGGCCTTCAGCCTGCCTAGAGATGGTTTTCCTAAAATGTATTTTTAACTTTGAGAATGCGACTTCTGGTAGCTTGAGCAAGACCTGGTCCACCACCTTTTGAAACCAATAAAAGTGATTATTTTCAAGGACTGCAGAATTAGGCTCTCAATGAAATTGAAATGGGCTATAAAAGATTATGAACCAAGTTCTGCCCTACATTATGGGAAGCCCTTTGATTATGTTGCAATTTTAATGTATGGGATAGCTGTCCTATAGTTTTTATTTTAGATGCGTGAAGAAATTACATCAATAAAATCTGGAGTAATTTATTGAGTTACTGTGGATTTCCCACATTGAGATTAGAATTGGGTCCTAGCTATCTACTGATGTTGCTTAAGCAATTAAAAAAAATGACAAACACATTGACATGAAGTTTGTCTCAAAATAATATCTAGGTTAAATATTCTTAAAAACACTTATTGCTAAATAAGCGCCAATATCCTGGGGGGCTGTGATATAAAGAATAGAAAAGCTTTATTCACAAATAAATACGTCCATGATTGGAGACTATTCCAACATCATATTGTTAATTGTCTAACATTCCTACTGGATGTTACTAGAACCATAAAACCACAAGAGAACCTGTAAAACCCCCACTCCCTTCACTCCATACAAGGAAAATTCAGATTTACTATATAAGCATCTGCAATATAATGCACTTACAAAATTTCCCTTTGAAAATACTAATATTAGATATTTTTAAAATGCCTTGGAAATAGATTGATAGGAATTTTTAAGGTCTCTATATTCATTATTATTCTGGAAAAACTTAAAAAACAATTAATAGTTTAGCAGCACCGTCACTGACATTATTATTCTGGAAAAACTTTAAAAACAATTAATAGTTTAGCAGCACCTTAAAGACTAACAAAACAGGTAGATTGTATTGTGAGCTTTTGTGAGTAAAACCTACATCTTTAGATTATTGATCTGGTTATTATTTCTTTGCTCTGCTTATATGCTTCACAGGCAGTGCAACATTGACAACAGAAGTGGTTTAAAAAGATATTTGTTAGTCATAATTGGTGATAACTATGGTAATGTTAGAAATCCATGCTCACCTAGCAACTTTAAATTCTTACAAAACTAGAGGTAAGGGGTTATATTTTCAAAAGCACCTTAGACTACTTCCATATTGCACGCTGCTTGTGGAGGTAGGTAGGGCACATTTAGCTAAGAATCAGGGTTTGTCCACACTGCAGCATGACTCTGCCAGGGGGAAGAGTGGTGGGGAAAGGCTTGGAAGCTGAGAGCTTCCAGAGCCTTTTCTCCACAGCTGGATCCTATCCCTATGGCAGGGGAAAGTTCTAGCAGAGCGGGTCCATCAGAACTTTTCTCCACTGCCTCCCCCATGCTAAAGCCTTTCCCAGTGGCATAAGTATTTCCTTGTGGCATGCAAAACCTTCTGCAGAAGGGATGCATCAGGACACTATGCTGGTAAAATAGCTGTGTAGGTGAGAGAGGTATTGTCTGGTGAGTAGAGAGTTATGTAGAGTGCAGGCATATCTTGGCTCTATTTGCCTAAGCAGTGCCTCACCATCAATACAGCAACTTATACCTGTACATGTAAAATATGCATAAACATACCTTAAGTGACTCAGATGACCTGGTCTTTCACTGGGGTTCGTACTCCTAAATCACGAAGGGATTTTTGAGATGACCTGGTCTTTCACTGGGGCTCGTACTCCTAAATCACGAAGGGATTTTTGGAAAGCCCACCCAATGACACTGATTCTGCTGTATGTTGCTGCTGAGTTGATCCTGATCATTATTATGCTCAGTTAAGACAATGTTTTCAAAGCTGTTTTCTGTGTACAGTACTTGCTTTTGCCACTCACACCGTTCAAGAAGACTCCAGAAGACTTGCACTTTATTATGGCTGTAGGGTAGTGGGCATCTTTAATGACTCTACTTGGGTCTCTGTTTTTCACAGATCAGGAAAAGAAGGCCCACACCAGCATCACTGGTTATTATGAATGAACAATCAACCCCAGGTAAGTAACAATGTATCTTCTAAACCACAAAACAGATGAACAGAAATGAAAGGCCTGTCTCTTGCAAGATGATGTTAGTAAATAAATTCATTCAAAGAAAAGGATATTGGCATTAAGCTCGTAGCAGTAAATGCCAGGGTATGAGCCATACACTGTTCTCAGACAAGGATTATGGATCTGTACAGTTCCTGGCCTCATGGGAGTCACTAGCGTAACTCCCATTGATTCCCCAGGAATCCAGCCTTCATGTGAATGTCCTTAGTATAAATGGAGTGAAGGCTCAGTTACCTCTGTGCTTGGGGATGGTCTCAGCTGCTTCATCCACACACCTTCTCCTTCACCAATGGAATGTAGTGGGGGGGAATCTGTGAGTTAAGTTTAACTAATAGAGTCCTTGGCCCTCCACTTCCTAGAGGGAACCAGGTCGGTTGCATTGCAGAACTTAACAAAACTCAGGACTTCCAAGGAGAAGGGTCATTCTCTGAAGTGTCTGTTCTCTCTCTGCTCTGCCAATAAAATCTTTGTGGAACTTCTCCTCCCACAGTGATGCCTCTGAGAAGTTTTCCTGAGAGATGAGATAATTTGGAGCTAGGAGGGCATACTGAGTCTCACACTCATGCCTCCACATGGCTGCTAAAGCAAATCTGTAGTTTCTAAACCAGTGGTCACCAAAGAGTAGATCAGGATCTACCGATAGATCTTGGAGCCTCTGACAGGTGATCCTGACTGGTTTGGCTGGGAGGCACTTCAATTTCCCCTCCCCCCACTGCCCTGCTGATCCTTTCCAGAGTCTCAGAGCTGCCCCCTAAGAGCCTCCTGCTTGTTGTTCAGGGTGAGGGAGCAGAGTCAGAGGGGCACTATTGTCATTCTGTCCCCCTCCGCTGTACCCCATCTTCACAGAGTGAGGTGGGCGGGGCCTCGGTGAAGGGGTTGGGCAGGGATATTTGGGTTTTAGGCAGATCTTGGACTGACTTAAACTCAAAAAGTGATCCTGTGCTTAAAAAGGTTGGAGATCACTGTTCTAAACCAAGCCAAGACTTGATGAGCCAAAGAAAGCACTTCAATAGTTTTCAAAGGGTAAATCACAGCAAGTTTTTCAAAATATCATCATTTATATCAAATAAATATTTATGTGTTCTTTATATGCTTTAAAAAAAATAAATTTCCCTGAAAAATGGCCTTGGAACGAGAAGCAGCATGCATAGTTTCAGGATAATCAGTATCTTTTTTCCTCTGAAGTGCAAGTTGAAAATCCAGCTTACAAAGGATAGCTAAGGGAGAGAGACTAGCACCTCTCCATAATAAAGGCCCATCAATAGAATGGGTGATCAAAGATTTGCTCAGTGTACTGTTACTGTGCCATTAATGTAATGCAGTTGACAAATTTCCCAATCAGTTTTCACTGCTGCCCTTTTAAAAGCTTTTTCAAAAGACTCCTATCCACTTACAAGAGTTCATTTCTGCTTTTCTCTAAATATTACATTACA